CATCCGAAGTACCCGCAACTTTCACATTAAAGTGCCTTAGTTAATGTTGTGTATTGTATCACAGACCCAGGTACCTGTGCGTTGGTCGCCCGGGTGGCGCAGTGGTAGAGCGTCTGCTCTAGAGTCGCAGAGTAAGAAGTTGATCCTTACGTCGCGGGTTCGAATCCAACTGTGGGACGTGGAGACTGGTCCTTCGAATGAGACCATACATGTATAAACCGAGATCCCGTGTCGCAGTAGATGCTAACACGAAAAAGATCCCTCACTGCTCAATGGCCTTGAGTGACGAGTATAGGTCAAAATTTGCAGCTCTCCACTGGCAAGTGGTTGCGTCTCAAATATGAGAGAAAAAATTCACGAGAGGGACGTTAAACAACAAACAAATAAACCTGTGTGTTGAATCAATGAACCCGCTTAACACTCCTAGCCAGTTATTCTATCCATGGCCAAGTCCTCAACACCTTGACCAAGCGAAGTATCTTGGAGGGACATTACAGAAAAACCTTAGCTGGGACACAGGTAGATAAAATCACAAAGAAAACCAACTCCATCCTAGCTTTCCTCAGAAAAAAACATCAGCCGATGCCCAACAACCGTCAAGGCACAATATTACTCCGCGCTAGTGAGACCAACTCTGGAGTTTCCATTGTTTATACAATTCAATTTCTTCGCCTGTCTTAGTTATGGAGTAGAAACATAACAAAGAGGCACATAACGATGTCAAAGGATTGTATCATGAACGTTTATTCCGTACATGAAAATTTAATTTTTTTGTCAACTACTTACTTTTTTCAGTAAATCACACTTAACCAAAAGCGGTTAAAATGTTTCTGTCCTTTTTTTTTTTTTATTTTTTTTTTATTTTGAGACACCTGTGCCCGCGACGCTATACTGCTGTATCACTTGAACACAAGTATCGTTCGTCATTTCTTAAAAGGGCCGCTAATCTAAAACATAGGTAATCAAAGATTACGAAGCTCACCTCGACGAATGTTATCTATAAGTAAGGCAAATTTCACATCATATTTTTTTTTTCTAGTTAGGGTACACCCCAAGATCAATGTCCATGCAAATTTGGTTTAAGTAGGACTTACAGTTACTTGGAAATAGACCTGCTCAAAAAACTTTTAACCTGTTTACTAATCAAGAAAATTTTGGTCAGTTCCAACATCCAAAGCAAGTCTGGAAGTTTCATCCTTAAATGCACCATCTATGCAAGTTTAATCATAACAGGCCATAATATTATATAGCTACTCCAAAAAAAAAAATTACCCTGATCACTCATCTGGAAAATGTATCCAGAATCCGAAGCAAGTGTGGTAATGTCTATTCCTACATGCATCATCCATGCAAGTTTGGTCCAGGTAGGGCTTATAGTTACTTGGGACTGAACCTGCTCCAAAAACTTTAACCTGGTCACTCATCTGGAAAATCTAGGTCAGATCTAGCATCCGAATCAAGTGTGGTAGTGTCCATCCCTAAACACATCATTCATACAAGTTTGGTCAAGGTACGGCTTATAGTTACTTGGGAATGGACCTGCTCCAAAAACTTTAACCTGGTTACTCATCTGGAAAATCTAGGTCAGATCCAGCATCCGAAGCAGGCATGGTAGTGTCCATCCCTAGATGCATCATCCATGCAAGTTTGGTCCTGATAGGGCTTATAGTTACTTGGGAATTGGACTTGCTCCTAAGACTTTAACCGGGACGACGACGCTAACGCCGACGCTGGGGGTAGAGCATAAGCTCATCTCGACTTCTTCGAGGTGAGCTAAAAACAAAAACCCTGACATACATACAAAGTAAACGGACTTTTCTGAGCGAAATGAAATACAGTTGCATTACAATTTTTATGACATCTATTTGAAACTGAAACCGAATATCATGCGAGACTTAACAGGCCCGTAGAACGCGGGGGGGGGGGGGCAATTTTTCCTCTTATACGTGCTAGTTCCCCCTCCCCCCATTTTTGTTGTTGTAAGGTGGAGCACTGGTAAATTCCGGGATTTGTACAAGTAAGTTTTTCCCTTTTTCTGCTTGTCAGATTATTTTAGGAAGTTGCCCCCTCCCAACTCTTTAGTCAGTATAGGTTTGTTTGTTTGTTTGTTTTTTTCCTTCAGATCTTTGGAGGAAGTTGTCCTTCCCCGACCCCCCCCCCCGATCCCCTCCGAACTTTTAAAACTAACTACGGACCTGCTTGAATATATGTATTTTAACATAATTAAGATCATCTATTCAGCTTCCTCTGTGGTATCAGCTAACCTGACACCTAATCTTTTCATTTTTCGATGCGATGAAATGTACATAAAATTATATTCGTAAACAATAACTAAATATTACGTCCAACACACGTTTATACTTTTTTTGTATATGACGCGATTCGGTTCAGCAATATCCCATTGAATGTTTGTAAATCTTCCACTCTACGCAGTCGACAAAAATTACTTCCGATACACACTGATGAGAGCTATTCAACTGCATCAATATTTTTTTTTACCTTTACCTTTCCTTTGACCTTGACCTCACTTTTCTTGAATTACATGTAGTGTTCAGCTCAGTTTGAAAGAAACTATTCATGGTATTTTTATCAAACTTCATATACTGATACATACTGATGTAATCTATTCAACTGCATCAACATTTTTTGTCGTTTCCCCTTTGACCTTGACCTCACTTTTCTTAAATTTGCATTTTGCTTAGTTTAAAGACGCCATCTAAGATATTTTATATAAGCTTATGCGCTTATACATGATGTGGTGAGAATTTATCTTCAATATCAATTTTTTTCGATTTCAATTTCAATTTTAAAGAAACTATTCAAGATATTCTCAAACCTATTCACTAATACAAATTTTCATGTTGCATTACTAATACCCTATTCATGTTCTATGGGCTTATTTCTAGGTTTTTTCGCTTGTCAAGGAGTTTTTCGTAGTTGATAGTGCCCCCCAGCTGAAAATGTATGGCTGTAACCCCCCCCCCCCCTCCCCCAATTAAATTGCTTCCTATGGGCCTGTCAACACCTATAGCATACGTCACTGCAGACCAGATGCCACACTATTCGGTTCCTTATACCGCACGCAAGGACCGCAGTTTACCACTGTTCATCCTTCCCCCAAGCGTTTGGGCGTTCAGCTCACTGAACAAAAGCGTGTTTTTATCCTGATTTTAGAGATTTTACTAGTACTGTATATAGACGCTCACCCCGTACACACACGGGAAGTATCAAGTGCCAAATTACGTAAATGGTGTCAGCACCTTAAAGGAAGAAGAATTAAAAATATCATCAGGCCACCATTAAAAATATCTTTGTTTCCCCTAACCCGACCCAAACATCTCAAGTTGGGTCGGTCGGTAGGTAAATTATTTTTTTTTCTGACGGCAGGTTTGGGAATACATTCTGAAAAATTGGATAATATCTTTATAAATAAGAAAGAACAAAAGAAACCAAATTTTAAACCGAATATCGTACAAATGAAGCAACATGTATGGTAAATTAATTCACAAATATTATTCATTTGAGCTTGTAAAATATCTCAGGCCAGCGTAAATTTATTGAAATCGAATATTTACTAAAAACACAAGATTCGCAAATACTTAACCATCGCACATTCGAGTACATTTTTCAAACCTACTATCATCTTCGATTACTTACACAGACCAAATGTCAAGGGCCTCGCGTGGCTCAGTAATTCCAGTGTTTCGTTTTATAGTCGTGACGTAATTCGGGAGCTTTTTATAAGTCACAGGTGCCGACGTGGGACTTGCAGACCGGTCAGTCGAATAAGACCATAAAAAAACGTAGGTCCAGTGTCGGAGTATACATGTAGATGGCACGTAAAAGATCCCTTACTGATGCTTAATGATCAAAGGCCATAAGTGCCGAGTAAAAGTCTAAATTAGGAGCCCTCCACCGGCCCAACAAATTTTAAAGGTATTTTAAAGCAAAGAAACAACCTGTTTTCAAGGGCCTAACTAAAGAAAAATAAACTGGACGTCTCAGGAAGCCGTGCCATAAGCAAATTTTAAAGATTTCAACACCATTTGGAAATAGTGTACATGTATAAACAATATATAATTCAACCAAACCATATCTAAAATGATTAAAGTTTCATATATCTAATTTTATAGTCACGGAGACAATACCCCATGAATAAAAGGAATAAAGAAACATCTGAATTATATTTATCAAATGAAATAATAATACAAAGACATATTTACAACTCCTATGGTCCTATATAGTAAAATAGGACCATACATGAACTGTTTATTAGATCGAAACGAATCAAATGCAGTGAAATTTATTGATATGTATTCACAAGGAGCGCCCCTCATCTGCTCATGAGCCAGGCTTTGCTATGCGTACTACGTACGTTAATTTTAGAAGACACATTTTTAAATACCATCTGAATACTCCTTAGTCATGGTACATTAATTCACGAGATGTCTCAAGAGTGTAGGATTCTAATAAGTTAAAGATATAATAAGATTGATACGTCACTATTGTTTTTTAACACGAACTAACCCTCTCTGGCCACATGTTTTCGGCACCAAATGAGAGTAAAACAAAAGCCGCCGTTCTGATAAAAAAACGGATTTTGATGAAATTGTATTTTATAAATTTGACAAACAATAAAATAAAAATATTTAAATAATTTTATTAAAAAAACTTTTCAGTCGGCACAATTTAATTGGGTCGGTCGCGTTAGGGGAAACAAAGGTATTTTTTATTTTGGCCTCAATGGCGAATTTTTACAATCAGGACCAATGCTCATTGAAAATAAAAATACAATATCATATTGTATTTTTATTTTCAATGAGCATTGGTCCTGATTGTAAAAATTCGCCATTGATGATATTTTTAATTCTTATTCAATATGTGGTATTGTTTCCTTTCATAACCTAATAAAAACCGATACTACAAAGGTTAAGGATAATACAGTATGAGAATCGATACACAGAAGAAATGTTTCATCATTGGTCTTTCACTATACTCACGTGAAATGAAATAGGACCACAAGAATAAACCAATGAAACAAGAAGTATTTCACAAGTCAAACATGACATGGCCTTTTGTTCATCAAAACGAAAGTAGATGAAATTCCAAACATATAGTAGAATAATGAGCCCGAGACAATGTTGGCTTATCAAAACACTTAAATCAAATTGACTCTGCGATATTTTGAAAGAGAAAGGAAATACTTGGCAAACAAAGGAAGTAATTCTTTTTTACAAAAATTAAAAATAATTCCCAATTAAAAAACTCATACCATTATATCAAACAAGAGTTAGGCGACGTCGACAGCTCGGGCACAAATTTAGGAGCAAAAGTTCAAAACTATGTCTTGGCATGAGCATCTAACGTTCACCGAGATGAATTTTGGGTTTATAGAATTTAAAACGGGTACAGCACATGCAGTCAAGTCAATTTTTTAAGATTTACTGTCAAAATAAAAACAAATTACAACAGTTTTGAAAGATTTTTTTTTTTTTTTTAAATCAATCTATACTTTTTTGATGATCCGAAGAAACAGCGAAAAGGTTAAGGGGGAAAAAAATCTTAAAAGTACATGGGAAAGTTAAAACATACTGAGCTCCTTATTAATATTTATTATAATCAAATAGCTAGATAAATGAATTGAAATGAGAGATGAATTGTAAAGCAAATCAAATGATGAATGTAAAATTAAATTTTAAAAAAGAGAAGTCTATAAATTAATCTAAATAAATAGAAATAAAACTTAACCGATTAAACTGTAAAAAGTCCATTGAATCTTCGCTGAAAAAAGACATTTTTTCTATTTGTTTACCTATATGAATATGATACAACAAATATAAAGTTCTCAGATTTCATTAGTAAATTAATTAATATGATAACGTTAGCTCAAAAATTATTAACATAATTTACCATCGTTTACACAGAAATTTTACTCTCCCTTCAAATGTTTTGAACATGTTATATATGTACTACGTATGCTATGTTCAGTGAAGTATTAATTACTAATATCTTATGTTTGTAAGTTTGGTGAATCCAGGGCTCCTCAACCTTGGCGCCATCCATTGAATCATATATATTGTTGGGGCAATTAAAAAAAATTGCCACTGACATCTGTACTTATACACAATAAACCAGTGATTGATAATGTAAAATGATGAAAGAAATTTATTGTTTAAGGGGGGACCTACCCGAAAAGTCTTTGTGAAATTTTGGTTTGTTTGTATGTTGTTTAACGTTCCTCTCGAGAATTTTCCACTCGCATGGAGACGCCACCGCTTGCCGCTGTAGGGCTGCAAATTTTTACCTATTCTCGGCACTTAGGGCCACTGAGCAGTGAGGGATATTTTTCGTGCCAACATGTACACCTACTGCAACACGGGACCTTGGTTTATACAGCCTCATCCGAAGGACTTGTCTCCACGTCCCGCAGTGGATTCGAACCCCTTACTAAGCGACTCTAGAGCAGACGCTCTAACCACTGCGCCACGCAGGCGACGTGAAATTTTTGAAACTTTGCTGTTTTTAGATCACCTGAGCTGAAAGCTCTAGTGAGCTTTTCTGATCACCCTTTGTCCGTCCGTCTGTCTGTCCGTCCGTCTGTAAACTTTTCACATTTTCAACTTCTTCTCAAGAACCACTGGGCCAATTTTAACCAAACTTGGTACAAAGTATCCTTGGGTAGAGGGGAGTTTAAATTGTTAAAATAAAGGGCCAAGATCCCTTACAAGGGGAGATAATCAAGAAGAGACCAAAATTGGGTGGAGTCATTAAAAAATCTTCTTCTCAAGAACCACTGGTCCAAAAAAGCTAAAACTTAAATGGAAGCATCTTTGGATAGTGTAGATTCTAAATTGTTAAAAGCATGACCCCCGGGGGTAGGGCGGGCCCACAATAGGGAATCCAAGTTTTACATTTAAATATATAGGAAAAATCTTTAAAAATCTTCTCAAAAACCACTGGGCCAGAAAAGCTGAATCTTATGTGGAAGCATCCTGGGGTAGTGTAGATTCTAAATCGTTCAAATCAGGACCCCCGGGGGTAGGGCGGGGCCACAATAGGGAATCCAATTTTTACATAGAAATATGTAAGAAAAAAATCTTTAAAAATCTTCTTCTCAAGAACAACTGGGTCAGAAAAGCTGAAACTTATACGGAAGCATCCTGGGGTAGTGTAGATTTTAAATTGTTCAAATCAGGACCCCCGGGGGTAGGGCGGGGCCACAATAGGGAATCCAAGTACTACATTGAAATATGTAAGAAAAATCTTTAAAAATCTTCTCGAGAACCACTGGGCCAGAAAAGCTGAAACTTATATGGAAGTATCCTGGTGTAGTGTAAATTCTAAATTGTCCAAATCAGGACCCCCAGGGATAGGGCGGGGCCACAATAGGGAATCCAAGTTTTAATGTAAATATGTAAGAAAAATCTGTAAAAATCTTCTTCTCAAGAACCTCTGGGCCAGAAAAGCTGAAACTTATGTGGTAGCATCCTGGGGGTAGTGTAAATTCGATCTGAATTGTTCAAATCATGACCTCCGGCGTAAGGTGGGGCCACAATAGGTATTACAAGGGGAGAAATCTGGTAAAGAACAGCATGGCCAAAGTTACTCAGGTGAGAGATGTGGCCCATGGGCCTCTTGTTTTCAATGTCACATAAATTTTAGGTATTAAAATATTTACCTTTGTATGTTGCAGCACGTCCAAGAAAATACTGTTCTGGTGTAAAATGGTAAGAAACTATTGATTTTTAGTCAGCGTCAGTTTTGCACAAAATGCACAAAATGCATTAAAATATCACAAAAGGAAGTCCATATGTTTGAAACTAGGTACATTATATGTAACAAAAATTGGAGATGTTCTGACAATTTGCAAAAATGTGTAGTTTGAAGATAACAGTTCTATATGTTTAAGAATTTGCTACTGTCTCTTGATTAATAAAAGCAATTTCAAAAGAGACAAAAAAACGTCATTTGGTTAAGAGCAAGATCAGTCATAATTCAGAGAGCGGCTTAGGACTTATATTATTACATAATATACATAATGGTCAAGTTTGATTAAGGAAAGAATAGTGTTGCTATGGTTACAAAGAAGGGAAAACGGCCAGTTTTCTTCTGCAGAAGCTTTCTCTATTTAGAGAATGTATTGTGGTCAGAATTGAAAGTTAGGTAGGTTGTTTTATATATATATTGATTTAAAAAGTCAAAGAAAACTAAACTTAACATTTGTATACACTTTTTTCAGATAATTTCCTTATCAACATTTTTCTTTAAATAATAGGTTTTGAACGTTTTGAAATGCAGAATTTTAAACCACATCATTAACTTGAAAAATTAGTTGTAGTCATCTGAAATGTGCTCTATTAAAAAGTAGAAACATGAAAACATGCAGTGGATTACACGAAATTCCTTTTAGAATTTATTGCCATAGCAACCAATAAATATTATTACATTTCTGCCTCATAATATGTACTAGGATCTTCCTCTATTATACATTTTAACGTATGATTGTTCTGATTTGATCAAATCAAATGAATAAAATTATTGATTTTCAATACTTTGTTACCATAGTTACGAACGTAATAGTTGTTTTCTCGAATATTTTTGTCATTCAATTTTTTTTTATTTTTATTTTTTTTTGGGGGGGTTGGGGGGTTGGGGGTTGGGTTAAAACTTTAGGGTAAGTTGCCAAGGTTACTTTGAACCTAGCAAAAAAATGTCCTATAAGATATTGACGAGGTTTTGTCTGAGTTAAACCATAAAAAATGGAGTACAAGATTTTAGCTTTTTGGCAGAAATGTCACTTTCGACGTATTGAAGGATTTTTACCCCACTTTTTCATTACTTTTTTCATAATTATTTATATAAATGTGAGAAAAATAAGAATTGAAAGAATACGTTAGAATGTTGATAAAACAATTTGTCAAATAGCCCTAGCAAATGTTTACAGAAAATTGTAAAAACGGTCATAGTCTTATTTTCTTACGTGTTATTTATTGAAAAATAAAATCAAGTATTACCAGTGCTATAACAAACGGCGATTAAGTAGCAAGTTATGTCTTGTACAGCACAACTATAATACCAGATTCTGTGTGACCAGGAGCCCAACACGATAAAGGGTTCTAGAATCATATACACTCATCTTGAAGTCCATATCACACCCCCTACATTCATTTATTTAGTGTAAATAGAGCACAGCACAGCTAGTTTTTTTGTTCCCTACATGTACGTGTGAACAAACATAAATTATAAATGTATGATTAGAGTGATAAGTAGTGTGTTTGTGTGTGTGCGTGTGTGTGTGGTGGCGAAGAGTAGAGAGAGACACAAGGGGACAGAGTGAAAAAGGAAATAGAGGGAATTGTGTGTGTAAAGGAGAGAAACTGAGATTCGAGGCGCCTTGGTTTTTATTCTTAGATACTACACCGAATAATGATCATTCAACTAAGTAGGTCACTGTGACCTAATTTTTGGCCACAATATCTCATGGCCCCAAGGAACCTGAGCTGATAATGTATTATGATCCAAGACTTCTTTGGTTTGGTTTGAACATATTTTATTGTAGTTTTTAATTACAGAGGGATTGGGCACAAGTTCTAAAAACTTATTAAGCCTTCTCCCTACATGTAAATGACAAAAATTAAATTAAATTAAATTAGGTCACAGTTAAATATGTACATTCAAAATATTCAACATTAGTGAAATTTACAAATCAATGCATTTTAAGAAATCATACATATAATTTTGTATATACATGTATATATAAATAAATATATTTATAATAATACTAATACTAACATGTAAATCTGCCAGAATGTTTAATAAAAGTTTGACTTCTTTGTATCAAGATAAAATTTGATTTAATCTCAAAAATGGAGGTCACTGGTTTACTTAAGAATTGACAAATCATGTAAAGCACAAGATGTATCAAAAGTATTGTGTTCAAAATATATAGGCTAGAGGATTTCAAAATGATGAACTGTAAAATTCAGGAGTTATGTCAGTTTTGAATATTTTAAATATTCCAAACAACCAAAATGAATTTGAATTACCATATTTATATGGGATTCCGAAACTTCATAAAAATC